CAAATTGCTCGGTATTAACATTGTTCTTTTTTATGTTTATTGTCTTAATTTTGTTTACTTTATTTTTATGTATTTGGTCAGATAAGTTAAAAAGTTCTTTAGATATTAAATTATTTATAAGATCTATAGGTCTTTTTTTTGTAGAAGTATATATAGTGTTATTGTATAGGGTAATAGATTTAAATACTTTCTCATTTATACCATCCTTGTTGTCTACGTCGGCATTAAATAACGTGATATGTTCGTTCAGAGTGAGATGTAACCTCTCTATGTCACTATTACCTGATTTTTTATACGTGGTTGTAAACCTAAAAGATATGTTATTTTCTTTAAAGAATTCTTTTAAAGATATAATATCTAGCTCATTATCTGTGACTATATTTTTATGTTTATCTAAATATTGATAAATATTGAATATTAACTTTCATTTTGATTCCTTCTAATATCGAGATCCAATATCTGTCCTTAAAGCGTGCGCTATTGCATACTTCGTGAGCTTATCAATACTGGTTAAGTACATAACATTTCTTTGGGGATACCAAATATCAAAATGAACGATTTCATTGTGACAACGTGGGGTTTCTGTTATATTAAGGCAATGTTTTAGTGGCTGCCTATCATATTCGGCCAGATTACATATATCGCAGTTATTGATAAATTTTTGTATTGTTTTTAAAAAATCAGGGTAGTAATACTTTAGTTTCAGCTCTGAAAATATTTCATTAACACCTCTATGATTATTTCTAGCATGCTCCTCTTCAATTATGGTATATTAAGTAATTTGTCCCTAATACTCGTAACTTGGTGTTATTTGCAAAGTATTTTCTTGAAATTGTAAATATAATTGATTATCTCTACAGTATACTACAATTAATCCTTTTTCAGGCAATTTATCTTGCATTATTTGTAGAAGATTACTATTTGATGAAACCCCAATTATTTCTCTAGTTTTCTTTTTGTATAAAATTTTTATTTTTCGATTTCTGCAAAAATATTTGTCTTTTAAATAGATTGAGTGGCTTTTCTGAAATGCTAATGAAGTGCGCACTGTCAGTATCTGCACTGTGAACAGTTACGATGTCTCTATATACATATTCTAGGTATTCTATGTGTACATATATGATATATGATGTGAATGTAGTAATAATCTATGTAACTATAAAAGTGAGTGTGAAGTAAGTGAAATTAAGTAAGCGTAAGTGTGAAGGTGTTAGAGTAAATTGTAAATCACCCCAATCCGGGATAACACGTGTCCATCGGATTGATGTTTGCAGTCGTGGTTAACAGATTGTATTCTAGCGTGCATCTCACTGATACCTGCTCGCCTCAGTATGTAACTGTGAGTTTACCGTGTTAGAGGGGGCTATGACATGGCGGACATATCTTTCCCCTACACTCGTGGGATGTTTATGGAAAACTTAAACAAATTAAACAAATTAGCAGGATCTCATACTGCAACTCAACTGGCGAATCGGGTGGAGTCTCATAACCGAAATACTGGACGCCTGGTTTTAACTTCTACACGGAGATTATAAGAACGTAAGGAAGGCAAAGGACCCAAGGAAACAAAACTTGGTCCAACGCCTTCAGCAACAACTGCAACTTCAGCAAGTAAAAAACAAAATGAAAGTCACAAGGTTGTGGGCTCTAAAGAGACCATCCCACAACCTTCAACCAGTCGACAGGTCTGAGTAGCGCAGGTACTAAATGGTACCTGCGGTATCTCAAAGAGGGCTTAACGTCCGAAGAGGCAAAGGCAAAAACCTTAAACCGCCTTAAGAACATCTCAGAGCCGAGGAAAAGACTCGCAGCTGAGATAAGTCCAACGGAAGGAAATACTGCCAAGAAAAGCAGGGCTGACACTAAGGCACAACTTAAACCTCCTCAATTCCGGGGGTAGAAATATCGGAGGTGGTGGTAAGAAGCATTGAAGCAGAGGCTACAAGGAGCGAGCATGTTGAAGAAATCAGGATTCTACTTCATGAAAATGAGGACATTGATGACCTCGACATGACCATGCTAAACTTGGCGGAAACGGAAGACTCGGACCGAGTCTCTCTGTTGGATATCGAGTATGTCCCACTGACAGAGAAGAAACCAAGGCCTAAATAATATCTATGACCAGCATAAAAATAGCTCAAATAAATCTACATCATGCGAAAGCTGCCTCGGCGGTTATCGCGAGAGCAACACTCAAGAACAACCTGAGGGTAATACTGGTCCTAGAGTCAGGTCCAAGGATTTTCAAAAAGCGGATTTGTGGCCTTGCCACTAAACACACACAGGTAATATGGGATGTCAGATGTGATAACCCCAGAACTTGTATGTTGTTAAATAAAAATATTAACTTTCTTTGTGTTTCAGAATTGCTCTCCAGGGATTTAGTAGCAGTCTAGATTCCCATCAATATCAACGAGAATTCCAGAAGCATCGTCTTAGGAACTGGATATCTATCAGGTGACAAAACTCAGGTACCACCTGAGGGCATATGCAGACTGGTGGAATACAGCATGAATAAGAAGCTACTGGTTATACTCGGATGCGATGCTAAAGGACATAACGAGGTGTGGGGCAGCACAGATACCAACAAACTCACCCCGTTTGTACCTTCTAGAATTTATAATTAAAAATAAATTAGAAATTATAAACATGGGAAATACACCAACCTTTGTAAATAGGATACGCGAAGAGGTTCTAGATGTAACTCTAAGAAATACTCAAGGTAGCGAACAAGTTGAGAATTGGATAGTTTTTAATGAACCATTGATGTCAGACCATAGAATTATAGGATTTGACATTGAAGGAGCACCCCATATCAATGGGAACCCTAGGAAAACAGACTGGCAAAAATACCAGAATAACCTAGGAATTAACCTAAGCCAGTCAGATATAGGGAGAAATATTCAGCATATAACCCAACTGGAATCCACAGTTGAAAACCTCAGCAATGCCATTATTGATGCATACGAAAGTAGCTGCCCGCTAAGCTCAATAAAATCAACCAAGGACGTACCTTGGTGGAACAAGAAACTAACGATATTGAGAACAACGGCTCGAAGGCTATTCAACCGATCCAAGCGCACTGAATGCTGCACCGAATATAGAAGCACTCACACTATCTATAATAAAGAAATTAGGAGAGCAAAAAGAGAAAGCTTTAAGACGTTCTGCACCAACATAGAACACACGACGGAGGCAGCAAGACTCTGCAAAGTATTAGCCAGAGAGAAAACACTTCCCTCAACCAATCTTAAAAGAGATGACACTACACGGTAGGTGAGGAGGGAAGGATTCAATTACTTCTCGAGACTCACTTCCCAGGATCCTCCAGCATTGAGGAACAAGAAACTGAGAATACCAATCATGAAGTTTGCCAAACAGCAGAAAAAGAAGACTGGGCTATTGCCAAGGAAATATGTACGACAGCTAGGATCAAATGGGCGGTGAAAACCTTTAAACCATTTAAATCACCTGGCATAGATGGTATACTTCCAGCACTTATTCAACAGGGAATAAAATACCTGCTAACCCCGCTAATGAAGATAACTAGGGCTAGCATTGAATTTGCGTATATACTAAACGGTTGGAAAAAGGTAAAGGTAGTTTTCATACCAAAAACAGGCAAAAAGGATCCACTCCATCCACAATCCTTCAGACCCATTTGCCTCACATTCTTCATGCTAAAAACATTAGAAAAAGTTGTGGATAACTTCATTAGAACATAACTACCTCTTTACATCCATGCCAACACGTTTACAGGGCGGGGAGATCCACTGAAACCGCATTGTTTGAGTTGACAAATATGATAGGGGATAGTATTGAGAAGAAGAAAACAGCAATATGCGCATTTCTAGATATAGAAGGTGCCTTTGACAATACTTCACATGACGCTATAAAGAGATCACTAATAAACAGAGGAATAAACTCTACTCTGGCACGGTGGATGAGCAACATGCTTCGAACTAGGAAGGTAGAAATACACACTAGTACGGGCCTGATAAGGATGAATACCACACGAGGATGTCCACAAGGTGGGGTACTTTCACCACTCTTATGGAGCATATTGGTGGATGAACTATTTCACGAACTAGGAAACAACGGACTAGCAGTACAAGGTTATGCAGATGACATAGTCATAACAAGCAGAGGAAAATTTGAAAATACTCTATGCGACAGATTACAATATGGATTAGAAATCACAAGAAACTGGTGCAACAAGATAGGACTGAGTATAAACCCAGGTAAAACTACAGTTGTAACCTTTACCATACAAAAAAATACAAACTCAAACATCTGAAACCTATCAGACTCGATGGAATTGAGATAGAATTAAAGAAAACGGTTAAGTTCTTAGGCATATATCTCAACCAAAAACTCAACTGGAAACACCACATTGA